AACATACCACTTAAGAGTAAACCAGTTTCTCCACATGAAATCTTCTCAAGATTTTATCTATGTAAATTGTGATGAGTTAAGCAATCTTCTAGATCTACCTCTAAAGATCAAGTTGTTTATCCCATATCGTTTATGAATAAATCATTTAACAACCATTATTTCAACGATTGAAACATAGGGATGTTATTTTAGGAATACGAAAAATGCTCTCACTATCTTCTTGTAAACACACAATTCGTTTTCAAATTTGATAAAATCAAACACTTTGACTTTTCATCAAATCTAAGATTTCAGCTCTAAGAGACTTCTCTTAACCTATAGTCACGATATGCAACTGTTGCAAACAAAATTCGAATGGAGTTAAGCAAGGCTACAGGAGAAATATTTCACCAAGGTCAACATTTAACCTTTGCTTCTAGCATTGCTTTGTATATATGGATATTCATATCCATATTGACCTTTTCTTTTGTAAACTATTTATAAAAACCTATGGGCTTTATTCCATTAGGAGGCTTGACCAAGGTCCAAACCTTGTTCACTTGCGTTGAGTTTCATCTCGAGTTTTATGGCCTCTTGCTGTCTCTTTTAAGTCAACACTTGACTTTATTTTGTTGCAACTAGCAGGTTCATTATCCTTGATTACTGATTAATGATTCGCACCTTCTTGAAGGTCGAATGAGCCTACTAGATTCACATAGAGTTGTCATGTCCTCATGAGTCTTTACTTCCTGATCCAAAGTATGTCCCATATCAGATATGGGATCAAACTCAGATTTATCTACTTGGTTAACTATATCTGTGGACTTTTGAACTCTTTCAAAATTCTATTTTACTCCCACTGTCCTCTCCTAGAGTAAACATTTTCTCTAAGAAGACGATATGTCGTGAGACGAAGACTTTTTTCATGATAATAGAATTTATATTCAATTTTCTCCTTTGAATATCTCACAAATATGTATTTATTGGATTTAGTCTCAAACTTATCCGATTTAAGGCGCTTCAAATAAGCGTCATGACCCCAATCTTTCATATAAGATAAATTGGGACTATTGTCTTTCCATAACTCGTATGGAGTTCTGTTAACCAATTTAGATGGGACATGGTTTAGTGTGTTGCACACTGCAATCAATGCGTGACCTCAAAACAATTTTGAGAAATTTGCATGGCTTGCTATTAATCGCATTATATGTAATAATTAACGATTCCTCCTTTTAGATACACCATCTTGCTGCAGTGCATATGAAGGAGTCCACTGTCATTCTCTCTTAGATAATCTAAATTTTATCTTTAAGATACTCTCACTTGATTGAATCTTAATGTAAATGTATCTTTACCTCTTTGTTTCTCTAATTCTAGTGTGAATCCCTTGAACTTTTCAAGAGTTTCATGTTTGAGTTTTCATCAAATATACTTGATCATTGATGAAATAAGAGAAACATTACCTGACATTGATTGACATGAATCCATATGCATCACTATTCATTAGACTGGTAATTATGCTGACATTTCTTCTTTTCAAGCAAAAAAAGATTTGGTTATTGTGCCAGATTTTGGTAATAATTAGATTATAGTATTTATGCCTTATAATTTCTATACTTATTATAGAATCTTTAGTATTAAAGAATATAAATGTCGTTTTATAATTTACCATAACCATTAAGATCTTTAACAAGATAAACAAGAACAACAATTGTCCTTAACATTAAAATAGTTCATGTCCGAACATGAAATTCATTTTAATGTTCCAGCTATAGTTGGCATAAAACGACATTTCTCTAATTTCAATACTTAACCAAAAGACAATGGTAAGAAGTATATTCATACAGGTAATGTAGCAACATTTGCTCATCTCCAACGTGTATGTCAATTTCTCCCTTTCGCAGTGGTCTACTTCTTTTTAGTTTCTCCATATTTGTATAAATATGATATTTACACCTGGTATCATATACCTAAGAAACTCGTGAAGTAGACGTAAGCCATGCAATATTCCTTCCAATGACCTTTCATTCTATAATGAAACCAATGGTCATTAGATTTGGTATTTGTCCTTTCGTTTATACTGTCTTAACCATATTAGGTGCTTTCACAAAGCCCCTTTAGACTTCCTCTTAATATCTTTAAAGGAACCAATGATTTACCCACTACCAGCTTCGATAAAGGGGTTAACAGTCCTAAGCATGTTAAGCAATTCAATATTTTTGCATTCGAGCTTATTCACATTAAATTCATAATTAGTTGTGAATAGCTTTAGCTGACAGAAATTGCAGAACCAAGTCACTACTTAGTTCATTGTTTATGATTGAACACAGTTGAGACATTTCTCAACGTCAATCATCTTCAGTGTCTAAGTATCGATTGAAGATTACTCTGTCATTTTGCACCGGTATAGTTGTTTGGAAGTCTCATATCCTTCCACACATGATTATCATCATACAACTCTTTGTAATGAAGAACTATGTGTTAACATCTATACTCTTAAGTCGCTTTTGTAACTCAGTGACATAGTTGCAAGTATCACATACGTTGCAGCACTATTATCATCACTGCGTTTACTACAGTTGCTACCTCTTCTTTAATTGAGTCATCAGCAGGTGTCTCCCAAAAGGGCTACTCAAGGACGTGACCAATTTTCTCATGCATGAGAACAATTCTCAAATTGCGGTGTCAATTAAGAAAATATAGT